TTACGTACTTCAAGTACACCTTTAACTTTTTTTTATGGTTCTAACTTACCGATCGAAATTAACGGATACGTCATGATACCAGATTTTCTGTATCGGCTTGAAGTTCAGAAGAAATCGGTCCGATGGAGATTCGATACGACATCATTTTCAGCATAGTGAATAGGAAAAAATTACATGAACATGCTCATGTAATTTTTTTTTTCATTTAATATATATCACTTTGTTCGTGTGAATTGTTAACAACTCTATGCGGTTCTTTTATAATAATGCTTCTCTACTGTAAGCCCCAACGTGAATAGTGCGTACATATAGTTTCTGCTTGAGAAGACACTCGGTCTAATTATCAACTATTTAACGCTTTCTGTGTTTAGATCAAAAATACGATACGTTCCAACTTGATGACTAAATTGTTACTATCAGGCTTTCGTAGCTACAACAGCATTTACGTTAACTTAATCGCAAAAGGAGTCGCAATCATTTGTGGCTTACCGAAGTTTATTTATAAGCACTTTTACTATTAAAGAAAAATAGAAGACGGTACATTATTTATATTAGGTTCACATTTTCCTTTTTAAACACTATTTTTAGTTAGGATATTTAGAAAACAGTTAACTTGAGTAATTGATCGATTATTATTATCACCGGCCCTATAAAATGACAGCAACTGCCCCCAGAAGATTTTACGTGGTGCTAAAATGTCTACGCATATAGATACTGATCTGCGTGCGGTAATCACATTTGGAGATAAAAGGTACGATGCACAAATGCAATAAACTTATTCACTTATTCTTCTACCATATATATAAGGTGGCCTATTTAAATAGAGAATTTTTGTTGGGAATGATTCCAGGACTATGCTACAACGACAGATATTTTATTGATTTTTTTGTTCATACGCTAAATGTCTCACGCTTGACGATCACGTTTATTCAGTCGAATTATCCTTGCCCAGGACTATATCTTCAGTTCAGAACCTGCACCGCTTACAAGCTCATTCCAAATGTTTTCGTTGCAATTTAGCGAAAGCTTTCCTGATAGAACGAGTGAGGGGATCAACGTTGCCATGTTTGGCTCTTACTTAATAACGCTCTATACATTGCAACCCAACGGCCTAGAAGCTAAGCTGGAGTCAGTTCGGTGGCTATATGTTCTCTTTCTAAAACATGGTCATCAGCCAGTTTGTACTAACCGCCTGGTATGAAACGGTCTATCATATTGTTAAAAAAAATGTGACACTTAAGCTATCTACAATTAGACACGCAGGTAAACTTCTATGATAATACGTACGCCTTTCAGATAGAAGTGTTGCGGAATAACATCTACTACGCTAGACACCACACTCAAAACGTGAAAATTGGCCAGAAGTAGGCTTTTACTTACATCTCCTTTGTAAGCAACTAAATGATTATTGCTACAGTTTATATATCATAGATAATTGATGATAAATGGGTAAAAAAGAATAGGGGACGACCTGCCGCTTTGTTCCTGTAAACAATGAGGAGCAAGTGACATCGATGATTGGCCTCAGACAGCATCTGTCTCACCCTTATGATATTTAACGTGTACTTGAGGCTTTCGTGAACACGGTAGCCTTGTTTTCGGCAATGACATAATCGAAATGAAACGATTGTCGGAAATGCACCTTTGGAAGGCATTATCCAACTCTGAAATCCGGGCTGTTTTCTCTGCACCTGCTTCTCATCCGCACATCCATACGCAACGTAATGCATCGTTAATTTGAGGTAAACCAAGAAATTGTCTTGTTGACGCCTCGTCCAGTGTGACTGGATTGAGTATTGCTTGTTGATTTATTCTAAAAAGATAGTTTTTCTTCATGCCCGATAGGACAAACAGTCCGTTAAGATATTTCTTACTTTAAGTAAGTCACTTTATATGTATAGGTTTGCATAAACTACTCTTGGCGTCAGAAGAAAAACAATTCCTATCTCGACATTTAGCCGCGCAAATGATTGATCTCGAACGGACTTTAATCTTTATAAATAGACTATATTCTAAGTGCTTGGCGAAACTTTGGTCGAAATCTTGGTGAACCAACTCACCACAAGTGTAACAGCCAAAATGGTGGCAAGCCATTGTTAATTAGCCCCGGGACGTTGTGTAATCGATTCTCACATGTTTCTAAAAAATTCTTACGACAGGATGTCGCTGATGGCGGATATCACGCAGGCCGCTGGATATGTCATTGCCGATCTTCTGCATGTCATGTTAATCTTCAGTTCATAAGTTTGCAAACGACTTTATACCAAATCGAAATTACATTTAAAGCTCCATTCGCTTTGGATGGAACTTTTGTCGATGGATGTCACTGTGTACGTTTTGCAAGCATACAGAAACAAAAAGGCCTGATGTTCAAAGTATCTTAGCTAGCATGAAGTACTTACTGTACATGCATAGACATCTTATAATTGTGCATTGGCAACGTGATTATCTAATAAACTTGCGGATACGTAATAGTCTGGCTTCGAATTCGGCGGTAATTACACTTCGTCCCGTACTAATAGCCAGCCCTCTGAAGCTATGCCTGACGACTTAAGTACGAAACGTAAAACTCCAAACATCTACATGATTTTGTGTCTATAAAGAAAAAAAAAATACAAATAAAGAAAATTTATGAATATATTTTTTATAGATCACACTGACGATTCAGAAAGTCCTATTTGTAAATACAGAAAAGCCCGTTATTATCACCACTGATAATCATCGCAAAAGTAAGAAGGATGGCGATGAATGTTGATTAACCAAAGAGGTCTAAAAGTAGAGCATTTTAACGTAGAATGCCTTCATAAGTTGCAATAAATATGAAAGATGAATAGACACACAGAGCAGTTAAAGAATTTTCGTAAATTCCCTACCATGCTTACGACTATTTTCTTATAGGAATCTAGTCATGCATTTACCGGCCGGTTCGGGTTATTGAAATGCGAAAATGTCCACTAGTGCCGAAACCGATTTGCCAGCGTTCCAGTAAACATAACTCACATACCAAATACTTGAGCTGGCCCCAGAGGCGGCGCTACCTACACAAAAATAGCGTGGATTGGAAAATAGCATACTTTGGATTGTGACTTGCTTACCAATTTCGATATTTAGAGACACGCTGGGAAGACACCAGCAGCGATGCTTTCGATGGCACCGTACCGATCCAATCAGTCAACGCCATGACGGCGGCAGAAACGTCGCTGACAACAACAACCGTGTCGTTGTGCGATCTGAGACCAGTGCACTTACAGCGTACGTCGAACTACATCGAAATACACTCTAACACAGCATTAAGAGGGCCCTACGAAACCATTGTGGCGCTTGGCGTAAAAGGTAGATATGACCACTAAAGGTGTCAAGAAGTATGTAACAAGAAAAGCGCTACAAAGAATTATGTGCCAAGTACCATACTGAGCTACTAATAAAAATCCGCAAATATACCTGCAAGACGTATTGCGCACCTGAGCTTTTTGGTGAGAAACCACATAGTTGATGTTACGTCGTGACGCACGGAGCAAGTCCTTTTGTATATTTATGGCTAAAGAAACATCAAAGTTTATGGATTGAGTTTAATGCAATGTTGAACTAACCGATACAGTGTAATCCTATTTTTAAGGCTAAAGTCGTTTAGTGCCTGCAATAGGCATTAATTCCTGTGACACAATGGAAATAAATCTCGAATAGATGGGTGACTATGAGACATGGGAAGCTGAAATTAGAACTCAATTTATTTGAAAAAAGCACGGATCTCAGTCCGGTATTGAACCAGAGAGTCCGTGATCTGAGGTGTTATACCAACCAGATACACATCAGTTTGCCTTTAAATCCCTCGTACTATATTCGTTTATGCCATTCGTAGACTTTGACATTTAATCAAGGACTCTGGGATTTTGTCTATTATAGCCTTTGATTTTGCTGCCTTAACGTGTCAGTTAAAACGACATTTACTATTTCAAATTATTGCGCGTTTTAGCGCCGATTTGCTTTCAATTTAGGAACTTTCCGAGTTCCTTTGTTTTAAGCAACTTGTAGTTGCAAAATACAATTGAAAGCGGCACTTTGTTTTTTCATGAATTTTCATCAACACTATAATTGTCATTTCTGTTTGCAAATTCTAAGGCTCTACTTTTCATCCAGCTGAGCATTTATGTATTATAGGCAGAATCCGCAATAGGTGGAGAAAATGATTAACATATTTAATCGTATATCATGTAAGCAGATACTACTCATGAATGGAGCTATCATAGATGATACTGATAGCCGTACGCTACTTATTCATATAAATGATTCCAACAGGTATCGGCAGGTTTTTACACTTTAATTAGTGTCTGATACTTCTAGCGAAAAAAAATGAATCAATGTAAAAATAAATATTATTTATACTGGATAACGTTTAATATGGATAACAAAGTGCATCCCCTGTCTACCGTTCGGAAAGGCTGAAACCGAAGCTCGTGTCATAACAACAGAGTGTTTCGCAGAAATCCCTTAAACCGGTTTCCTCCACTTTGCAACATAGGTATCCCTATAAAAATGTAACCTCAGAAAACATATATCCTGTGTTTAATGCAATATTTAACATAGCTATCTACGCGCGGTAAAAAAAAGACAAGAAATTTGTCAAGAGATTTGTTAGGGGAACATTGTTTTCGAAATGAAAAAGATGCCTATCTGAAAATCAACGCATTTAGATTCATAACGGTTAACATCTATTTGCTTAACGGAGTCTGCAATAAAGAGAGTTAAGAGAAATGAAAAGTATTTCTTTTGAAACAGTGTTACGTAATTAGAGGTGACACCGGAAGGAGTTTCATTAGTTAACCCTACATTGATAACATTAACCCAGCTTGTTTAAAATATTATTTTTATTATATTTATAACAAACTGTCTTCCAATTAAATGGAATAGATACAAGAATATCTCTATACAATTATCAATATCCTGAATTATTATTTATCTAATAAGTGAGGACACAATGCCGAAATAATGGGCCTGCTGGTAAGTGCGAATACTCTGCCGTCGTATTCTTTGCCATCCACACATATTTTCTAATTATTATTATATAGTTACTTCACTACTTTGTTTGCTTAATACGTTTACGGGAAGTTCTGTTGCTATCAAAGCCAAGTTTCTTCACGTCTCAAAGTTAATGATATCAAATTGACCTTTTGATTTGACTCACATTACCAAATGTCTAATATACGTTTGTTTTTGACTTTTGATAAAACAAAACATCGATACTTGTTTAGAAATAGTTATATTCTGTGTTTTTCCTAGTTTTTAATGAAAATTGCACCTTAAATTCCGGCCAAAGATGGACTGTACCCTTTATTGGTCAGTCGATGCGCTCAAATTAAGTTCCTCAATAGATTTATACGCGAGATTACCGTTTAAGCTGATGGTGACGTTCAAAAGTTGTTGTCCTTTTAGTTTTCAACACGTCTAATATATGAACCCTACATATATCATCAAATAAAGAGTTTAATCTAGAATTTTGTCTTGGATATCGTATTTGATATTTTTTTTGATGTTTTTGAGAGTTCTTCTGAGTGGAATAGATTCGGTGTAGGTACGTTAGGGATAGGTTATTAATTTCGACTTATTAAAACGGCTTCCAAAAAGATAATGTAAAGCATATCGATTTTGACTACATATAATTGAGAAGTGCATGTACTTCATATTGGTGGGTACATATACATATGTGTAGTGGGTCGTCAAAAAAGTATCGGCCGGTTTTTAGTTAGTGGGAATTTAAAGTCACATGACACATTTACCTAAGGTAATATAAGTTGCGCCAAGTCGGCGTTGGTGTCATTTCAAAGTCAAGATGTGACAGTAAGAGTTGAAAAACACTTAGAGTGTTTTTATTCAGGCTTAAAATAGGGCACTTTGAACATGAGTGTGATTTCTGCAAAAATCCGCCTTGGTTTACAATTTTATTATGATAAAAAGGCACAGACGCATTAACCAAACATGATCCTGAACTGTCGCGTCTGTAACTGAGCTCTGTAAATTTCAATATGAAGGATGCTCTTCGTAGTGGTCGACTAATCATCGAAAAAGTTAATGAAATTAGTATGAAGACTGAGCATGGCTAATAACAGAAGCTTTATAATTGGGTGCCACACGAATCAATGTAAAAGAATTTACTCGATGGTGTTTCCATCTGGAAAACTCTTCAGAGATGCAACGAAATTGAGTCATTTTTAAAGCTGTGCTTTTAAATTTTTTCATACATATACAAGTTATATGTTTAAAAGATGTTGCCCTTTTGTTAAAACATTTGTTAAGCACCAATGGTCGCGATCTGTATGATTGGGGAGCATAATAAAGCTAATAAATCGCTTATTTTTTGTTGTCAAGGTACAATTATGCATAGAATATCTTACAGGTGTTCTGATACGATAAAATTACTACCAACTGGAAACGTTCATCCATTGCATAAGTTTTCAGTGGCCTTTTCCAAAACAAATATTATAGCAACGACGGTACTATTTTTGAAACATTACCTTTACGGGATTTTGGAACTCTTGTATAGCTTTTTTCACTAGCTAAATAATAAAAAATCTATCTGTCGTTTCAACTTGGCACCTCTCCGGAGGCAGGCAAAGGCTGTGGAACGGGTGGTTCAGCAATTGAACACATTTTTTTTTTAAATATGCGACAGTTTGGTTGACAGTAATACCAAATCACTGGATTGATTAGAAGCAATCTTCCGAATAACTTTCATTGTTCTTCTCGCTAGCTAACTCATCTTCGGCGGGAAAACTGTTTTATATGCAAAGTGGCGAGCGACGTCAGAACAGGCTTTGTTTTGAATTTAGAAACGTTGTTGTCCGACAGCTACAGGACGAATAGTTCGCCTTCCAATCTTCAACGATCCACAGATTCCTCCTACCAGCCTCTCGCGTGCGATTATGAAATTTATGCTTCTTCGTAGGTTCACACAATTGTCTAGCTCGCCTTTTTTAGGTCAACCTACTATATGTTGCTGATTCGATATACAATGTTGCACGTATATCACGATTTTTTATATTTGGCCTATATTGCTTGACATTGTACTCCTTCATTTTCCGCGAGCGAATAGAAGATTTATCTAGTACCAACTGCAATAACTTTAAAATACTCCTATAAATTTATATCGATGTTCGACGAAATGATATGGTTAAAGCTCAGAAACTTTTCTATTATATTGCATTTATTGTAATGTAACTACCTCTCTGGCAACAGCACCCCTGAATCTGCTGCTTCCAAATTCCCTTATTCCCTAGCATTGAAATTCAACTAACTAAACAGCACAGAGAACTTGTTCAAGTAGCCAGTCCTAAAAACATGAATATACTCAGCTGTGAAAAGTTCTTCCTCTACAAATTATACAATGTAAGTTAGAATGAGAATTATAAGCTGATATTTTCTAAGATATCTTAATAGTGCTGCCTGCCTCCCATGTGCGCCCAGCAGTGCTGCTAGAGGTTTTTTACACTTTATGATACGAGTACTTCGTACCCTTCAACCCTAACGTCTACTGGACACTACCATGAAAACAGTGAAGAGCACGAGTGCAGCATTATAGCCGCGCAACTTTTTTTATCTGAGTCTATCCACTGGTATCGTTGACCTTTTTGATAGCATTTTTCCTCTCATACAAGATATCTCTTCCTTCGAAGTTTAGGTCTTTAACGATTTGATGTATTAAATTATAGTTGCCATGCTACCTGTATCACCTTTTTATCTCGTGAAACGAATCTTCAGACAAAAATCCAGAGTCGAACATGCGACGAGTGTATAATTTTTTCGCTCCCGCTCTTGCCTGTCAGTGAAAAGAGATTCAAGGCGCTTAATACTCTAGTAATACACTTTAACAATAGCATATATAAACATGGCTTTTTTGGAGTCTTTTTTTATTTGATGATATTTTAGAAATAAACTAATCAAATAATATATATATATATATATATATATATATATATATATATATAGTATTATTATTTGATTATATAATAGGATTATTTAATTTTTAAAATATTGCAAGGGTATAGAGATGCGGCGTGATCCATGCAGCTCGTGTGTTTATGGCTCTACATATAGTCGTTTTCCAATAGTATACAATACAGAAACAATTTGCTCAGCCGTTATAAACGACTACGGAAGAATTCTAAGGGACATTTTGTGTCAAGAAGGTAAAAAGTGAGAGGAAATAGTCTTGTACTATCTTGTTCGTTGAAGTGATAGAAAAATTCGAGAGGTTTACAAAAAGCTTTTGTGCACTTGATTATAGAAAGGTTCATTTTTAGCTATTTTTAGTGCAGTAATGAAAAGAGGATTAGGGTTGATAAACTCAAATGACGAGGACAGCTAAACGCAGGGACGTATTACCGAAAATAGATCTATTGCAGTAAAGCGGATTCTTCACAGTTTGCCGCGGCATTATTACGGTCTGGCTGCTTCGCTGCTACATTCTGACTTGACCTCCATGACGTAGCCATGGCACATTTGAGAGAGCGTTTTTGCCTACAGCGGCCAACGGGCGGCAAAGGAGCAGGCAATGTATAGATCGAGTCTAGGCTAAACGTTCCCTACAGTACATACACAGGTGCCTATGCCGTCAGACTACACGGAACTAGCCCAGCAGACCCTAGTTCAAGCCAGGTAGGTCAGAATGTGTTCAAAATATGTCGATCTGCGCATGCGCCATAGCGGAACATAAGTTCTTTGTCAACAATGGGAGAGACCACATTAGTTCTAAATTGTTGTTAAAAAATTGATCCAGCATTATTTGAAAAAGGCTTAGATTTTCCCTATTATTTTTCTTTTTATATATAGTAGCTTAGCTTACGAATTGCAAGCGGAAATTTTGTATGCACATTTCATAAATCGTTGTTCCTGTTACCTGTTCGTTAAAACGGTTTAATTTTTACTTTGTGTGAACGTAGAGGCGTACCGTCTGTGCAAACGTTAAACACCCGGATGTGCGATGATAGCAGTGCTAACGTAATCCGAAAAACTCTTGACAGATCGACAATAAAAGGCAGAGTTGTGTTCCTATTGCGTTGAGTGTAAACGAGACCTGGAGAAAGTTGTAATCTTGCACCCAATAAAAATATTGCTTCAAGGGTACGCTGTCCGCATTTTACCATGTCGATTAAAAAGCCTATTTATTTATGTAGCCATTATGACAGTGGTTGAAAACCAGTTTTGTCATGAAACTTATATTGTTACTGGATCGCATTAGGTTCAGAGCTTGACACTCATTTAAAATGAGTAGAAAATAGTTCTTTAATTATATGCTAACCACAATGGTACAGCTGCATCGTTTTTACGAAATATATATATATACACATATATATAGTGCTACTTAAAGGATGTCTATCGAAAACATTTAACCGAAATCCGATGGTGGTAGTTTTGTAAATTATAGAAAAACACGAATCCTAGCATGTGTATGAAACGATTCTCTTATTTAGTAGGACTTTGTGTTAAAAACGTTGATTTAAACTCCAGGTGGTTATTTTTTATAAGTTAAAAAATGCTGATGACTATATATTTTCGCAATTGAAGAAAGAAGCTCAATTCTACGACACTGCACACAAAATGAAGATAAAGCATTTATCGCAATTCATGAATTCGCTATGAATTCGACGAATTTAGTTGTTTGTTTAGTTTAAAATGCATCTTGTAGTGCAGCGTTTCGTAAACAGCTCCCGCAAGATGACTTAAGTAGATAGCAATTTACTCACGACTAGCTGACAGCGTTGACAGCACTCATTTTCATTTTTGAGCTCAAGCGAAGAACAGGTGAAAATGTATTAGAAAATACAAGTTTTTAGAAAAAAAAAAAAATTGTAGGGTACTTCAAAAGTTTCAACCAGCATATATGTTGCATAAACAATACACATGGTAAGATATTCAAAATACAATGTTGTATCAATTGGCTAGTAAAATGTTAATTTTCTTCCCGAAATCATGTGTAAAATTAGAGTTCAATAAATTCTATATATAGTCATCCTTTGGAATCGATTTCGAAATACAATCACGCTTTATCATCGCATAGGCAGTGGGCACTGGCAAGGTAACATGAACGTCCATTCAATGTATTCGATCATATCCATAAGGAAAATTCGATAAGTGTTCTTGAGTTTTCGCCCCCTAGGAGACTGTTAGCGTAACAATCGGATAGTATGGAATTAATACGCTAGTATATTTAGGAGAAAACTTATTAGAAATGATACTCTTGACAGTTCTCAAAAAACGAATCATTGTGCCCCCTATTTTCGACAGTGTTCTATTTTTAAGGCTATTCTCCGTTCGTGATAGTCGTGGAGGGCATTTTTCTGTAGAAGAGTAGTATTAATGAACATAATTGCTACAGATAAAGATAATTACCTGAGAAAAACAAAAATCTCTTCAAGTCAATGACCAAGCAGCCTTTATTACGGCTATACGTGCATCGTTGGATCATGCCTTATGAACCTAACTTTACCTTTGCTGCTAATCGGATCAACGGTCTAAAAGAGACGGCGTTCGTGAGCATTCGATCATTTTGATCGAAAATAATGACAACTACGATATTACAAAATTAGACAGATACATTTTATTTTATATATGTGGCTAGCTAGCAAGTAGTATACACTGGTTGTTTGTCAACTACCGAAAAGCTGGTGCTAGATAAAAATTAGCTAATTTCTATTAGCGATAACTTGCGCTCGACCAGTGTTTGTATACAAATTTCAACCGTATATATAGTAGACTTGAGAATGATTTCTAATCGTTAAACTTGGAAATTTTCAACCTTATAACAACTAAAACTTGTAATTTAAAGAACGAAACTGATTCATGCTATATACATCTACTTGTTCTATTATGAGATTCCATAAAAGCTCACTTGTGCCCTTAAGTACCAAACAGAGATGAATTTATTAGAAATGCATTAAAAACTGTCAAAGTATATTTTATGACATATATCTATGTATTATTCAGTTTGGAATGTCTAGGATTTAGAAGGTCAACTAAATAGCTTACGAGTTGGATAAAATAAAAATATTGTAGTGGGTTTATCGCGATTAAGGGGGCTACGGTGTTATTTAAGCTTGGCTGCTAATTCTACAAGCCATACGATGAACGTATCAAACGTCAACGATTTCAGTTTCGCCATTATACATTGTTGAAATTGGGCGATAAAGTAAAATAAACGTCAACTTTTTGGTTGTGGCAAAGTTAGAACTTAGCACGAAGTTAGAGTGTGTCTGTGTCATCCACAAACTCCGGAATTTGTAGGTCAAGATGATTTTGCTTGTTATTTCAGTTTAAATGCTGAATAATATGGTAGATAGATTAGAAATAAAACGACATATTTAGTGCAACGGCAGGAAATCTATCTAAATATGATTCTGGCAAACGCTTAGTATTCGATAATTTATTTCCAAGCGCCCCTGCGTTTCTAACCTAAAATTTTAAGGAAAGCTTATCGTTTGAATGCGTTCAATCTTCACACGTCAAGAGATAGCATTCGTATAGAATTTAAAGCTTACATTTTTGGAAAGGATTCCCGTGTCCTCGTAATCAGTAACGATCAGCATTACCGAATTCAAGCAGTTCGTAATGCTCTTCTTGATATTCCTGCCCAGACCTCACTTCTAATTTCTCCACGATTTCAATAACCTACACGAGAGTAGAAAACACATTATGAAAAGCTTTAAAAAAGGTCAAGTACATGATGTAAAAAAATTTCTTGCCAGTTAGACAGACTTCATTTCACATCTGTTAAGGTGACAAGAGATATTGCGTTGAAGGGCAGATTTAACCATGCGATGCATTTGCAGCAGGGGCATCTTAGTACCGCCTATATAAGTCCTAGATACTATGCTATAGTGCCATAGAGTTAGTATATCAATATGCAATGCTTCTACAACGACTATTGTTGTTGACCTTCTTGACTAATATCAAAATACTTTGTGGGATGTTTTAGGGGCATGTTTAAAACGTGTGTTGCGCAGCTAAGTTTGCTTTTTAGTGCAGTAATTTGTCATGTGTGAAACAAATACCTTTTGAAACTGTCAAAAGACTTTTGGCCCCACCACATACTAACTGAGGAATGCAAGAATTCGATTTTGATCAGTAGAAGTTGTTGTTCAATAGGTGCAAAAAACTACTAGCAATTGACATACCGTCTTAGCAGCCGCTATAGTCTCTAGAGCAGCATTGACTTTTACCACGACGAGTGGATCGGAACTACTTTTCTGATTTTCGAGTTCTGTCTGTATTTGTCGAAGTCGGCTAAGTAGCATAGGCAGCAGCTCCGTCTGTATCGGAGCCTGCTTGGCGGGCGTAAATTTATCGTTCTTCTGGGTTCGTCGCTTATGTTTGAAGGTCTGCTCATTACATGTGTATTCATTTAATTGACGCATTGTAGTCATTTCGTGAATTTTGAGAACAGTTAGACGTAACTCGTCTAACGCTTCATCAAGCTTTACGCACAGTTCGCCAGAGAAAACATGCGACTTGCTTTTAATTGTAATCATATCTCCTTGAACAGAAATGTCAGGTATCCTTTCAAGAACGAGCTTGAAGAGATGCTCGTTTCCCTCACAGGTCTCGTAACAGACATCCCACATATGCTCGTATGTTACCTTCAAATGACGAGAGTGCAGAGTTTTTATTATCACCTGGACGGCTCTACAAGTCTGCGCTACAGCTTCGACATTAAAATATAGTTGGTCGATATCGGTGTAAAAAAAGAAATTCATCAGCTGATATAGCCAGCCCGGAGATTTTACAGGTTTAATGATTCCCTCTTGACACAAAGCCTTTATCGCTCGATTTAGCAAAGGCAGACGTAGGTTGCCGCGCGTGAATTTCTGTTCGAGAGATTCTTCGTTGAATATAGATTCGCTACGCTGTCGGGTAAAGCCAGCGATAAACTCCTTCCAAAGGTACATCCGATTAGTAAATTTACTCGGACCAGTTTCGAGAGAATCGCATTCTTCGAGGAGGATGCTGATCATGGCCTCGTCATTCCAGATACTTGCGGTATTTTTCATATTTCTGCAAAGTAATTGGGATAGCGTTTCTGAGATAACGATCTGCTACAGTTAGAATAATATGCATTCATCGACTGGCTTTCAACTTTTCTTTATTTTACATTTACTTCTTTATTTACTTTAGCAGCAATTATAAAAGTTTTGCAATAGAATAGTATGTTAACAAAATTTCATTTTTATGGTAAATATAATAAAGATCAACTTGAATGAATGAATCCTTATTCTCTGTAATATCTGATCTATTTTTATCACACATTTCCCAATCCTTCGGGCCACTTAATTCTGTAAAAGTCACTGTGTAGGATGCAGTTAGGCTACCAATAGTAACAGTCGCTATTCAGATCGCATCCGCTGTATGAGTCGTAGCCGGCATGATTTGCTCGCATCAGTTCCTTCTTTTACTACGTCAGGAACGAAAAACGATGATGGATCCTGTAGCGGTCGGGAAATAATGAACAGTCACTCACCACAGATTGAAGCTCACTCTAAGATTTCGTGTACTTGAAATTCAGCTGGCTGTGCACTCGAATCAAGCTCCTGTTCCAACTGCTTAAAATTTGTGATATTTACTAGGTAGAATGAGTCTCTCATTAACGTGACTATGACATGTGCCTGCAGCTTTGTGTCTAGCAGGGCAGACGCGATGTGCGTGCATACGCAAGGCATATCTATTACCTATATCAATGAAGCTTGCAAAGAAGAATCTCAATGAGTCCTAGCTGCTGACCGTCAACTGAAACTCGTATGAATCGACACTGACCTCGTCCTCACTGATACAATGTGTCAATGAATGCACACTGTGATTTACAACATGGAAATCATTTAGCGATAATTTCATATTTTTCGCGCGAATTTAACCAATTTCATTGGTAACGTTAATTGATTTTTCATGCCAACTAGATTCACACAGACTAGCTAGCGAATGTAAGTAGGGGCAGAATTTATATCACAAAATATATCAAAATTAGGACAGACAATTATAAAGCCTATGTCACTTTGTCGATTTCTATACGCAGTCATTAGGACCTTTTAATATTTACAGCAGGAAATATTGCTTAGACCATCATGCAGTTAGTTTATTACACTGTAGAATTATTCAGCATTCAAGTAGGCAGTGTAACATGAAATAGCGTAGCAAAAAATGCCTTACTAGATATTAACGACTACAAGCGAGAACTAACTCTGTTCTTAAATCGAACGAAAGGAAGCTCTGTGTTGTCCTTTTGTAAGGCCCCAATAGTATGTTTTGCTCTGATGAGGAGAAAGCGTCCTGAATCACGAGAATGACAGCGTCTCGACAGCCAGTTTTTGGACGGCGTGAACCTTAGGTCACACATAACAGTATCTAGCATAGAGTTTTCGAAGTACCTTAATAAAGCGGCTCCGCTTACGAACAAGAGTAAGGATTTTGAATAGCAAGGAAGTCCTGTTTGAAAGCACACCATAATAAACAGATAAGCTGATTTAAAACGCGATGTCCTTATTGCAATACCATTAAAAACACGATATGCATCTGACACACGTTCTTGACCGGTGCACCATCTACTTACTCTCTTGTACAATTACCATCTGCCGCTGAGCGTCAATGAGGGTAGCATACTTTTAGATCCGGGTAGCTAATTTAGTTAAGGAAAATAAATTAAAAAAAAAGTTAAATGAATTTCTTATATGCGCATTAAGAAACATTAAATTGACCTGAAGAGTGAAAGACACGATAGGACACTGAAAGGATGAGCGCATGTTACGTTATTAAAAATACGTAGTAAACACCGACAAGTAAGATGAACAAACGATTGAATTATAGTTTTGAATAGGTTATATCGTTGTTTCATTTCTGCGGTTCCTAGATCAACACATTTTGTTTTACTTATTCCCGTTGTAAGGGTTCGAATATATATATTTGGCTTTAAGAGTCATTGATACAGTGAACCTCGTACCCATATAATACACTCTATCCATATAAGCTACCTTTATTTTCTACCAATTTATCTGCAGCACCTCGAAGATTATATGACTTGACTAATCCTGGAAGATATCTGCACTGATAGGAACAGCCTGAAAAATACTCATAGCTGGCTAGGTATTTTATTCTCTTGCCAAGTTTTTTGCTTCACAGCTTTCCAGAAAATGTAACATGGCTGAAAAATATGAGACTTGAGACAAAGGCAGGTCTACGAATGTGGTGCAAGTAGATTAATCAAAAATACATATACAACGATTTTTACGATACATTATTCACAGTGATGGCTGATTATCTAATGTTTCCATGCTGTCTGCAAATGGCGCACGCTTTGTTGTTATTTCAGAATTGGTGTAGTGACTGGTCTACGTTCGCTTTCGCGTTGTCGAACACAACTTGTGCCTCACTGTTCCACGATTACAGTTGTAAGTTCAAGCCCTTATAGAAAATTAAGTTTAAGCTGAAGAAGATGCGAATCTCTAGGCCCCTAGTAAACTTATCTAGAGTAACTGAATTTGTTTTGAGAAATCAGCCCGCCAAGCTTTTTTGGCCTGTTGCTGTGCCCTAATGAATCAGACCCGTCGGGGTCACTGCTGTGAGTAGAGAGATATTAGAACGGCGAAACTAATTTTTTTTGTTTTTAGAGTAAGAAGAACTAGAGAATTGGAGAACACACTATACGTACTTGTGATTAGCCTTACCTCAACTTCCGGTGACTCGTTTTTTTATTAAACAAACGTTGAAAATAGCATATATATATATTTATTTTTTTTTTTTCTGGCTTGGAGGAGTACAACTTTTGGCCACCACGTCCGTTATTGTTAAACGCATCTGTAATATTTCAATATACATATATTTACTTGTAAATGGCTGAAAGGTCAACCTAATGAGTTATGGTGTGGCTTTGTCATTTGGGAGACCGATTCATCCATAGGTTATGATGATCATTTTCATTGGGGGTACGTAAGCAATATATCGTTTTGCCTCATTTGATGCCTAAAGAGTACACATATTCTATACGCATAAATACTAGGAAAAGATTAGTAGTATGGCTTGTTTGGGATGGGCCGACTATCATTCGCTGAGATTTGTCGGAACAAACAAATAACGATCCATAATCATAGAGCGTTAATTGTACCCTTCTATATGAATATGAACATTATCAACATGGAGTTAGCCCTATGTATAATTGAATTCACTCATGAGACTTTTTTTTTGTGTGAAATATTTGCGCCATATCTAGGTGTTTGTCTCATAGAAATCTGTCGGGTATCTTTTTACGGGTCTAGGAAAAGCCAATGACAAAACGTTCTCATCTAAGAGACATCATTGCATTAGCTATTTCACAAAGTGTACATGATAGGCACAAGAAAATGACAGAGGTACTTCAAATATACAATGGAAATGTATGGCGCTTAGTCGTGATATTCTGTTTGTGAGTTAAATAACAACAGTCGTATCAAATCTGACACATGATTTAGCTTCGTAAAAAAATAAGTTATGCAACATATTTATAGGAACGTTAGTTAAAGTGAATCTATACATCTAATGTACGCTGCACATAAACACACACGCATAAATATGTAATAGATGTCTAGTTTCCTGGCTCTTAACGACATGTCAACCGTGTTTGATCTTTATTTCGGACGTTATCATTGCGTCGTTGTGCCCTCTGTGCTTATGCAGAGCGTTCCAAAGGTTCGCAATGGGGGTGCGAAAAGCTCGAAAGGTCTTAGCTATGGTACTTAGTCCGATCTTATGTTCGCTAGTAACTTACGTTGTAGAAAATAGATACCAGTCACGCAGTGAGATACGTTTTGAATGCGCAATGTGGATTTCTATATCCGGTTCGACACTCGACAGAATTTCGGATAGTGGCACCGTATACGTGTACTGTAAGCTTATGAACCACGATCATCTCTAGAAAATTCCGCGCTGCTTATCATAAAATCCAACATGGATTCTTTATACATACGGCGTCCAGTTCTATTTACTGTGAAACTGGTACTGGCATATTACCTTAATCCTCGCCAAAAATAAATCGCTTCTCTGTACCACACGTATGAGGCCAAAAGTGCTTCAGCGATGTCGCATCCTAAACATTAATTTCTTCTATATTATATTTACTGCTTACACTATCATCTATTGTAGTTGTAACACTTGAGCGAAAATTGCATAGTTACGCGAATCGTATGACGACGATAATTCTTACCAAAGTCAACAAAAAAAGACGCAATGAAGTATAGTAAATGATCTATAAACCAACAGAGCTGTCAAGGTATGTGATATCCGGTGTCGGCCGTCGTAGCCTAAAGCTCCATAGTGGCCTGTACTTGTGGAATGTATATATTCAATCGTTCAATAGTGGAAGTAAGTACTTGGCTGAAAACGGTGAACGAGGAGGAAAACACTTCGTAGCAGGTGGTACCCTCCCACCACTGGTTTTATACCCCCCATTATGTCCACCAATTAATTTCGGCTGCTTTTACTGAAAGCTAGTGATTGACTGCTCATCTATCTGTGCTGTGAGTAGTTAGTATGAACATACAGCGGTTTTCAAATTACTGATTCACAACAGTTGGTTCCTGAATCAGATGCGTTACTAGCTATTTGTCGCATAAAAAATTTCGACGACTCTCATGCAGTTTAGGCCATTTCGGGTGACATCCCATTGTTAAAAGCTTATCTAGTAGTTAATTCGCACGACTCAAGGAACTCTTTACAAATGTACCCGAGTCTGCCATTTTGTACTATAAACAACAATAGCACTCTGGTATCGATGATAATGGGTGTATGAGATCTCTATCCGTATACGGCCGACCACTTCTCCGGAAATTAGATCCGGCTGAAATAACCTTTCTCACTAATTGTTCCTATACTGCAAGAGACTTATACCATCACTTTCGCTCGCTTTAGGCAGTGGAAATTTTTATCAATAGCATCCAGCGGTAATAACGGACAAATGAAGAAAACTGCAGGTTGGCACAGGAATTGTTGTCAGTCAGCTAGCGCTATATAAAGCTTACTTTAGTAGAGCATCGCATACACGGTTGGACGATTTCATAACGGGTCGACCTGGACATCCGAGGTGCCAATGTACACCAGAAACAATGTGTTGGGTAAATGTGTTACTGGGCAATACTAACACATGATAATAAAACATTTCGTACAAAACAAGATATGTATGATTCAATCGGTGTTGCTATACGTATGTGCCAGGTAAACTACCTACTAAATCAAAATACCAAAAAACTTAGCGATGTGCAGTTAATACATCAGTGTTCTAAAGAGACTTGAAAAGCTCTGAGTATTATCACTATTAGATCATTTTTTAAATGTTACGTCGATCACCTGAGTCTGTCAGCACGCGTTCGTTCAACGGCTACAGATGTCTTGCGAACCGGCTATAACGCAAATAGTTCTGTTAACTTCATAGTGTCAACAAATGGATTAACTTAAGGCAGATTACGGCTACCAATATCATGAGCACGGATTGTTTCGATAAGAAAGTTGAGTGCAGGTTTCGTAAGATGAAGTCAATTTACACGTTATTCTCTAATCTTACACGGCTATTTCAAGCAGCAGTTGCGAGTAGTAGGGCGTTTTAGATAGCTTAGGTTTTAAACCGACTGTAAAAACGCCGTTATCATATTTCGAAATAGTTTCAATATCTATTTATTTATCTGCCCATTGGTAACGTGGTAAGAATTTATATATGTATATCTGAAACCTATGCGCTGAGTTATGAGTGCGCGAAGTGCTTGCTGCTGATCAACCCGATAACCTGAACAGCAAAACTTTTTACATGCGTTCGAAAATGTTCGGCGAAAATCCAAGTGCAGGTAAGAAAGTGCCCAGAATGTTTTTTTTTTTTGACATAAAGCTCACACCTCAGCTTATCAAATAAAGAAAAAGCTAACCAATGTTATTGATACTTACGGCAGCCTATTTTATTTCTAATATAATAAAATAGTAATTTAGTGCTGAGGAATGTAGAATCTAAACGAATTCAACATTGAAACTTGGAAAATATACGGGGGAGGCGTACCGACTGCAATGGAAAACTCGAATTATTTATCTAGCGAAAACTAAAAGGTAAGAAGAGGTGTATTCTTTAGATACATGCACGTATCCCGGGCGCTGTGCTGAGATCGGTTTTGTGGCAGTCAACTTTGTTGAAACTTTTGGTTTCTATGGGTGTTTTCTTATGCAACGTGCGCCACATGTTTCCACCTGGAATTAGTGCCTAATCCGACAATTGTTTACTCTTAAATACTGTGTAACAGATGACATGACGTTCATTTAGCTCCAATAACAACTGAGGAAGATTGAAAATTCTGCGGGAGCTGGTATAATGGACAGCGATTTCTTTTGGAGACGCTACTCGCCTAAAGAACGTAAGTCTTTTTTAACGTACTTTGTTCAAGCCTTTTGGGTAGAGCTGTTTTTCTAGGGTCTATATGTGTTAGCTTTGTTGCAGACGATTTTGAGTGTGGATCGATGCTGAATTGTTTGGGACCGACCAATATGAAAGGAAACAGCTAACGAAGTAAAATAGGTTTTGTAGCTTGGATTCGCGAGGCGAGCAAATGCATGTTATATTACGCTATTGTCAGCTAGGATCATAGTATTACATCTAACTGTATTCTGGCTTTTTGTTTTTGAAAATGGCTTCGGGAATCCGTTATGGTTATACGTCAATGGCGGCTAACACACCCACTAGCGGGAGACTCGAAACTACTTGTACAAGTAAAAAAAAAATGTTGACATAACTAAGATTGTTAGTGTATTTATTTTCAGTCGACGGCTACAGCGAAGATACACTAAAAGGAATCACTGATGACCTTCGCTGCAAAATAAAAGGTGTGAAACTATTGCATATTTAAAAAAATCCATATGTATATATCTGGTTAATAATATTCGCCACTCTGCATCATATAATCCAGGAATTATGATGTAGCACTTTTTCGATCGGAAAATATAAAAAAAAAAAAGACGATTTTCAATTATCGGTGTTATTTAGATACGAGCACTTTAACTTAGTCTTCGGAATTTTTTTTCAACTGTGCAAAAATATTGCTAAATATATATTTTTGCTATTATTTATATTGCTAACTACATTTGCAAAATTTACACGCGCCAGAACAACATTTCGTAACACAGTTTTCTAACTAATTTCTATTTCTCCGCTTCGAATAACGTGTATTGTATTGCACATTTTACTGATTGGGAGCTTGATTGATGCTTAGTCCTACCGGGAACGACTAAGAGTTTATATAAATTAAAATTCATTATAGGCTGGTGAAGAACAGGTAAATGTGTTCATTTGACAATTGATGCAATCCACTTTGTGTTCATTTGATTGTTGCATTACAACTGAAAACGACGTTGGCATAAAATGTTTTTGCTGGCAAAGCATGGTTCAATAAGCCGCCGATATAGTATAACGAAGACAATGACAGACGTAGAGGACGTTTAAGGTAGGCGTAAATAAATTTACAATGAGAGCTTGCTTAGTTCATTCACCATGAGATGTTCAAATATCAGGGATAGCCCATACAACGTACAGGGAAGGGCGAGTGCCCCTTTTAATGAGAACTTTTATAGATTCTCTGTGAACGCGATACACAGCACAGCCTTTCACACCCTTTCGATAGCGTGCTTATTAAAGGGTTCTTTAGTGGCCCACAACGTTACTTCTGCTCAAGTAAAAAACTAACGTATTGCATTACCCCGTCGTCGAGCCGAAGAGGGGGTTCTATTGAAACTACCGCATTCTCACAGCGCAACCTCATTGCTTCGGTATTGCGCCTGCTTACTTCAAATCCGAATTCATCAACATACGTCTTGTATCTCTTGAGGGTTAGCAATGCTCGCTAAGGATGCCTATTAATAGACGAGCTTGTTGGCCTAGAGAAGGAGATTTACCCACCGAGTCGTTTCTTTACCTCTCTCGGTAAGGACTGGTAACTTTTTTGCTTATTAATTTTTTTTAGGTCTGTTTGAGTAACACAATTGACGAACAACTGGCACCACCAAAGCGTAAGTCTATCTTATATGAGCCGAGTGTAGGGCTCTGCTCAGATGGTTCCTGTCGAGGCCACTGCCCACTAATTCTGAATTGCTCTCTAAGGCTTTATGACGAACAAGGCCAGATCCTCATTTAACAGTACTATAGGCTGATAGGAGAAAGTGGCTAGCGCTACCGAATTATCAGGTCCGAGTCACCCTAGTTAGGTTTCCACCACACCAGACGAGCTAATTTTTTGCACAGGAGCATGTTCTTTCTTGCACCTTCTACACCTGGCCTCAGACCATAGTTTGAGACAACTTTGTTTCCCAGACGAATCTTGTTCAGGTAATCCTTCTCCTTTAAAACTTCCTTAAGCAACACTTTTCCTTCATTTCAACATTTGCGCTATGGAATGATGTAAAATATGGGCCTCTCGCTCCGTAACCAAAATAACGCAGTATATCTGTATTCCCGAAACACTTCATGAGATGAGTAAGCACTATACATATCGCCAGTGTAGAAAGAGCCATGTCATCTGTCTTCTTTCTACATAGTACACAGCTGCCAGGGTCTTGGTTCCTGGCATGTAAGAAGCATCTACGCTAAAAGATAGGTAATTTTTTTCGAGGTGTGGCATTCGCTAAGGCCATGATTGCGTTTGAGCTATCGTTATATACTCATATATCGTGCGTATATAACGTACTGACATGCTGTAGTGCATTGGATTGATGCTAAATGCTAGGACTTGGTGATTCTGCATAGAAATTCCTTGACCGCAGTGGCCATAGACTCTGGCAAGATTTAAACGTAAACCTCAAAGTGTGATTCGGCAATTATCATTAGGAGCTTCCTCTTCGGTTCTTTAGGACGTAAATGCTTGACAGAGTTCTGGCTATTTCCGGAGATACTCTGATTGCTTTTGCCTGTCTGATGCTGTATACTCCTCGCATTAAGTTATCCAGCTGAATTCCCAAGTGTCTTGCCGTTTTAACAAAGCTAATCCTCTTATTACTCAGTATTAGCATGGCAGGCAGACATTTCTTCCTGCTAATGAGTAACATTTTTTCCGGCTTTGTGGGGCCCAGCGATAATTGATTAGTCTTTCATCCATATTGATATCTGTGTGAGCGTTCGATTTGCCTAACCCTGCAGTCCTTCGACTGGCCTTACCTGCACAGTAACAGCCCGGTCATCTGTTGTTAGAAAGAAACAATTGTTACTTTCAATAAGAAATCTCTTAAAGTTAGAACTCCATCTTATGCCAGGATGCACGGTAGCGTGCTTAGTATGAACCCCTGTGGGACCTTAGCAGTCAGAGTCTTACCGTTAAGCGCCGACCTATTCCGTAGATAGCTGTCGATCACAGGGATCAGGTATAAAGGAACCTGCCCTTCCTTTAAGCAAACAAACACCAGGGAAAGTTCTCAAAAGAATTTTAGTATCTAGAAGAATCGTTAAAAATAAGTTTCTCGAATCCATTGTATGCTCTCACTTTCTTGGCGCTTTTAAGGACCTTATCAATTGCAGACAACCCGGATTTTTTTTTAATCCAAAGACATTTTTTGACAGGAGTCTCTTTTCTTTTGCTACTGTCGTAGATCTCGGCTTAATGATAGCCTCAATGCCCTTTGCAAACGTCCCTTGTAGCAGATAAACCTGTAAGACCCATTTCTCTTGGTAATTCACTTTATCTTTCTTTCTGATCACTTTTTGGAAAGCAGTCCAAGCTAGGGATATGCGGACCATTATTAAAAGATTATTAAAGGATAGTGGCCCGCAACGTTACTTCTATATAGTCATCAGGTTCAAGAACCCTTTAAGTGCTATGGTGACTGTAGCCGGGATTCAACCCAGTTTAGGAGCCTTGCTTGATTCGTGCACCTTTCTGCAACACCTCTTCTTGCGTAGCCTTATCGTGCTTCAGGTTGTTAAACTCCATTGTACAAGAGGGGTCATGGTAACGAGTCGATAACGAAATAATTACCGTCAGTTTCTCCTTTTCAAGCACAATTACCGCTTACTTTTCCTTTGATTAGCTTATAGGGTCGAGTGCACAGGCCGTCCTGTATATTTTCTAAGAACTCTTTCCAACAAGTCGAATTTCTGCCTTAATAAATATTAAGGCCTCTCGAATGCCTCGCTTTTTGCCTGTGTTCACTTAGGGTAGCCTGCAACGCGTTTTTTTGACTTTCTTCTAACGCGATTGCATTCCTGCCGCTGTGCATGCCCTGACTCCACTAGTAGTTGCGTTTTTATTATTGATTAAGTAAATATGAATTTCCTACATCACAAAACCTTACTAGTTGTTGTAGGTCCTACATATTTTGCGGGACGCCATGTTTCTGTGTTCAACGGTTTATAGCTGCCACTATTTTTCCCCTCTAAGGTGCATCAGAGTGGAAGCAGGTGTTGCTACCCCACTTGTGTGTTGCGGATGAACCATGAAATCTACAGCGTTGCGATTATTTAGATCTTCTTCTTCGTTAAGCAGCTATCAACAGTAAAGGTAGTCCATCTATTCAACCTTACACATCATAAGGTTTATAAAAAATTGGCATGAAAACTTTCTTAGCAAGTGGTCTATTTTGAGCTGTTAATTTACATTCGCCTGTGAGTTTTCGCTGCGATTACTATGCGATCTCTGTGTATTATCGCCCAGTTTGTAGAATGTGTTGGACGGTACGTGCCACTACAGTTTCTGTATCTAGCCTTCTAGAGCTTGTACCAATGAGTCATAGCAATAATGTTTTTCCATTGTGACTGTCCTGCCGGGGTATTTAAAGGCTTTGTGCCCCATCTCTTTAGCATCACGAGCAGAGCGGCACTGTGACCCATTGGGTCACCTAGAAAGCGGTCCGTCTTAGGCATAAGTTGCCCTCTGCTAGGATGTTGTTTGCCATTACATAATTTGTGAACGGGACCACGGCTAACCAACAGATAGCGGTGCTCTTCATTGCTTTATTGACAATGAGACAATTTTTGTCAATCTCGGTGTAGACAGTGCGTTCCCTCCGCGTCCCTACTACAGATTGATGATTGCTGGACACTGAGAATTTAATCTAGAATTTTACCTTGGACTACTGCTGTTTTTCGTCCAAACCGATAAAACTCAGTAATGATTCATGATCCAGAATGACCTTATTTACCTGGATAGCGTCCCTAGGCAGACGCATGATTTTTTGAGGCACCCTAGAGCGGGTCAGCTTAAAAAGCGTGGCAAATGAAAAGTTAACAACTACTGTTGATAAGTACTAACGCCGAGCGGTAGGGATATGCGAGATATTACCCAAGTAAGGGAATTGCTGCACTAAAGAACCTTGATATGTAAAAAGTGAGGGCAATATATTGGTGTGGTACGTTCACCCTTCATTGTTTATTTTGTAATTTTTCAGCAGACATCTTTATCAAGAGTTTCCATGAACGTTAATCGTTATCTAATTACCACTATATGCTTCAGATAAATTTGTGATGAATTATTAATACATTTGAAATCTTTGAATTATCAAGCATTTTAAAAGTAACTTATGTGTCGAAAAGTATCTAAAACTTGGTTAAGCATGAGAATAGTCGCTGAATTTAGCTGTTACCACCGTAGAAGTTTGATTGAAATTTTACGGTATACGCACTTCACGCTAATTATGGTACAACATTGGCTAAAAAAAAGCAAAAACCTTCAAATTAGCTGTAGTGAAAAGAACTGTTTAGGATTAGAGTATCTATTGAAATTGACGAATTCGAAACTCCCTTCCATTGACAAAAGAAAAAGTCTGTGGATCCAAAACGTAGCACTCAGGAAAAAAAATTAAATACGCTATACTAAAGTATGTTTGCACGTTTTTTTCCGTGGAACTTCCCCAAATAAAAATGATAAGTCGAATGATCACACTATATACTATCCATTGGTTTTACCGAAGGTTTGCTAAACCGAATTATAAACTTGCCTCAGTTATCCTTTTCACAGTTATTTCCGCCAAGTTCAGCGCACGTGTGCAACCGCTTTTGGCAGTCACTGGAAGACTCCTTAAACCCAATCGTAGATTGAGCCGCCTTAACTATGCTCGCATTTTTGGATATCCTCAATCGGTTTAAAGCTTTTTTTGGTTGTTTTTTGAGCTTTGAAAGAGGCAAATTATGACAGGCTAAATATTATTAAAAAAGCCCTTGAGGCGACACAGGCAAAAGTGATTCGAGCCATCGAAGCAGTACAAGCGATGCAAATAAAGACGTGCAAACCATCATGCATATCGTGGTGAACCCATGACTTTCATGATTTGTTCTCCTAGAGCGCAGGACAGTTTCGGCATACAGCTTTACGAAATCATAAACGTGAAGGAAATTCCTTGTTATGCTTTTTATTGACAGCAGAAATCCCCGACATGAATTTACAACGCCCCATTCCCCAATAGTAGAAAAATATGTTGAGTAAGAGGTAGTTTTTGACCTACGTCTTGCAGTTCTGCTTAGTGAGAGCTTGCCTTCTAAATTATCCTTGACCGATTGTGTTTTTCCCATGTTATATTTTAACAACTGTCTTTTCACCTGTATACATAAAGCGTGAAAGAAAATTCAGCTCCATTACTTGAGCGCGTCAACATTCTCTCGAAACAACTGCTTACTCGAAATACACGTTCTTCAGCAAAAAAACAAAAAAGAACTGCCTCGTCTTCTAATAAGCCTTCGAGATAACCTCTACAGTCTAAAATGTGTAATTCGTCTGCGAAATTCCTAAGGATGACTAGATGGCTCTTCGGCAGACGCTTCCTCATTTTCGTCTATATTCGCTTCTACCATGTGCACCCTTTAGCACTTTCTTTTCATTTTTTTTTATAAAATTTTGGAATCTACAACTTGCACCGAAGTAAATTTGTTTGTGGGAAATTTTTCTCTCAAAAATTAGTTTTAATCCTTAAAACAGTGCCTGTTCGCTAATTGCCATGTCTCGTGTTGTTTCGCGTTCTTCACATGGACGCCCCTGAAACTTTTAGAATACCAGTAGCACCAAGGATGTACTCAGTGATAGGTAAGCTGAATGTTAGCTTGATTACCAACAAGTATACAAGTGCTGCTGGACTCAATAAATCCGCGGGCAGTCTCGGCCTTTGGAAACAAGTACAATATCCATATGAAATCGGTGTAAGCACTACTTGTATAGCCCAATCGATTTAAACGCGGAGAGTCTTCTATCATTCGTTTGAGCTCTCTTCTGCATTCAGCCTTCGCAATGTTAAACAGGCTAAGAAGAAGGTCACCTATAATGACAAGAATGAATTCTACCGAGTTCCCATGAATTGGCCAGTATACACCGCGTTGATTTCTTTCTCAGAGCTAGGTGACCTGTTAACTTAGTAAGGAATGACGAACAAAAATATATCCTCATTACCTCGGAACATAGCTACGCTTGGTCTGAGGCTCTTTGAAACTTTGGAAGCGCTGGTAAACACTGCCGAAAGTGTACTTGCCTTCTACAAACTACTCATCGTGTGCAATGTCCGTGCTGTCCTCAAGAGTTTTCATATATATATATATATATATATATATATATCCACCTCAAAAATTAAGATACGACAGCAAAAACGGCAGATTGAACGAATGCGTAATGCCCATATGCAGTGTCGTAATAATAATAGTAATAAAGTGTAATAAGGAGATAAGGCGCACCAGTTTTTTTAATTTAAAGGATAGCCAGCATCTCCGGAAAACAACTATAAAATATAGCACAGTGCGGGAAAATCTGGGTATCATAAAAGTGCTTTCATACGCCTTTATGTAAAGTTCTTGCATTATTCAAGGTCACTATGTAACTACGCCACAAGGCACGGAAGCTTTTCATTGTTTATCTATTTGTTGATTACTCTGCTAGTTACATATTACTGCTTTGTTGAATAATATTCCAGATGCGTTGTGGGAATTAGCCGAATTGGAAGAAGAAAATGCTTGCCTTGACGTACAGGCGTCGGCTAGAATGGTGGTTATTGATCAACTTCTCGACCTTCATACCGAGAGAACGCGTGATCTCGACACCTACTTTCGTGGCGTACAAATGTCGGTAAAGGGAATTCGGCACAAAAAGCGTTCACCGTCAATACAACAACCACGGGGAAAGTTTGTTACGCCGAGCGACAAGGGTGAAGAAACACCTAGTGAAAATTCGCTATCCAAACCGGAACAGACCATCAAAACGAGCTAAATATTCTAGGTATTCGTCTTCATTCGAAAGTTATGTACAGCACCGATACGATTACTGATGACAGAAGCATTAGACCGTTAGTTAGTCGTACAGATAGATAATGTTTGTTAATTGAAATTTTAGTCTCGGTGATAGCTTAGTGGGTTCGAAGTCGAGCATAGACACCATTTCTTTTGTACTGGGAGTTAGTCGCGTGATGGAATATCTATATATAATGGCGATGCCGGACGTAAAACTAAAGACACAGAAAGCTTTGAGCCTGGGGTTAATGGGCTTGAATGCCTCTCTGCACAGTGATAAAATTCAAAAGCGTGCAAAAAATACATACGCCTGCAAGAGGAGTAAAACCTAATGGAAATGAATTTGTAAGAATGAAACCTATTTTATACACATTTATACTTTTGCTATGGAAAATCAAATGCTGCAATAAGATGGACTTTTTCAATTGTGTTTCTGAATCATATTTGGCACGATAAATAATCATAAAGGATAGGCTCAGTAATACACCGGCATACAAACTTTTAATTCTTGAGTCTGAACAATCCTTCGAATGGGAATGTTCCTACAAATAACACCGCTTTCTGCTTCTTAGACTCACTTGGCAATTGCTTAATAGGGCAGTATAAGCTAAACGATTCGGCAGAGTAACAACTATCATTTTTAACTAATTTACGAATTATTATTGATTGTATCCGGATTCACGGTCCAGACACACTTGATTGAGTCTGATCAAAAGTCAAACTTTTTAAAAAATATTGAGCTTTTGATATCATCTCGTTTTGCATTTGTTGTCTACCGTATTGTATTGGATTCGAACAGCGCAGCTACTGCAACGCTTAAGACCATTATTGGAAATCTTCACGAAAATTTGATTCTTACGCCTTCCTTTCTAACTCACATAAACTAATGCTAAAGCGATTTCAATTAATTTACTACAAATGTGTATTATTTCGCATTCGAGCGAAAGCGTATAACCTTAGTGTTTGTATTGCATTTTGAAGAGGGGAAAAAGCCTTATTTTTTTAAGATGAAAAGAACCTAATCATGTTACAGCCAGTACATACGAGCTTTTTAACTTTTTTAAAAAAGAAAAGACGCTAGGAACCTATGGTAAACAAGCTTATAAATTAAGTGCCTGAATAAGCGTTTTTCTGTAAAAGATCCAATACGAAGATCGTCATTCTTTCTGAGGGGATCCGTTGTCAGTACGTATCAAGCTGTCCTCCACAGGTGCCGCTTTTTTGCTATGAATACAGTACGCACAAATAAACAGCACAGTACAAGCCTTACGTCGGCCAATGGCCATCCAGTAAAATGGAGTAGGACATTTAAACGTGTGCATAAGGCAACGTCCGTCGTTAGATGTGTTATACGAATCACACAATTCGTATGATGTGTTATATCTTCTTAGCCGCCGACGTACCTATCGGACGGCTCCTATGAACAAGGAACTTTTTTTTTAGTTAACTCATCAAGAGGAATAGGTACTAAATAGCGTAGGCAATAAATCGACTGAGTGATTTAAAACGAAGCAAAGACTATCATGAAATAGAGTTTAATGTGTTTAATGTTTGAATTTACGTAAACTGTAAAAAAACATAGGTAAACATGTGAGTGACGAAAGGCACAAGAATTGTTTCGAAATTCTTATTCTCATTATGATTCCTGCAGTATGAAATAGTTACTTGCTGTAACAGTACACGTGACCGTACATTGTACCACGTAACTTATAATCAAGTGCCTTACACGTCGTAGATAGCTGCCCGATAACGAATAAGCCGTTCATGATAGCGGTCGTATTTGGATAGGTACCGCTTCAAGGTTGCGTCAGACTAATCGCATTTCATTAAAATACTCGAAGGATAAGGCAAACTTGTTTCTATAGATGACTTTCTAGGCCCTTGTCTTATAGAAGTAGAAGTTCTAGGATGGTAAAGCACGTCTCCAAAAGACGTTGCAGGAAGCGTCCCTTTATCAGGATAGGACCTAGGCTACGTTTTAGTAATAATTAAATATTATACTGTCTCGTTCAGCTCGTATCAGTTCAGAAGTGAGATCGTGGGCTCGTGTGTGGAAGTTTCGTACTGCTCCTCCTGGGGCTTCGGCGCGATCACGACGCATTTTATTTTCCGTTTCACAGACCTGAAAGCGACAGGCTTCATCAGAAAATCACATTGGGCATATTTGGACGGCAGATGGGCATGCACGATACCATGGTCCAGTCAAGCGCATAATTCGAGCGAGTAAACTAGGCCTTCTCGCGTAGTGCCCGCAGTTCGTTTTAAGATATGCTGGCTGAAGTGGGTTACAAAGTAACTTTTGGAGTTTTTACAAACAACAGATCTTTCAACTTGGCCATTACTTTGAGAGCGGAGCGGCGTTGAACGTATATAACAAGATCTCCATAGCAAACAGAGTGTTTTTTTGAATATTCTCAATGTGAACTGCGTGCCGCTGTCAACACAGGAATAAGTACCTTTGGATTTTCACGCCCTGCAAATGTAGATGTTAGTTTTGTGTAGTCGATGCTGGTGTACCTGTTCGCAGCGGACTCGCTTCAGACCAACTTCAATTATATAGCACAATAAAATCGGTATTGTAAATTACTTTATGGCTTATTAGGTTCAAATCATTTTCTTTAACTGTTTTTAATGGGGCTCTTCGGATAGCAGATGATAAAGCTTATTCGGTGTCTTCAGCCACCACAAAGGCCAAAACAAGCAGAAACAAGCTAATCGTTTCATTATTACGATACCTGTGTATCCTCTTTGAAGTATCTTTAGCGAATCGAAACCCAGTACCTGTGAGCAATGACGGTGATTCCATCCAAGAGAAAAATAGTTCTTAACTTTATGAGAACTCCACAAGACGTGCCAGTTTTTGATATTATGCCAGGCCAATAATTACTTTCACAAAGTCTATATCAGGTTATCGTCTTAAATCAAGTCCCGTCGCTTTTACAATGCAAAAAGGGAAAAACCTGAAATATAGTTGATTCATGGATCGTCATTTTCATTACATAATTCGAACTCGCTATATCTCTTGTGTTGTAGTACGTTGTTTATCTTGCATACCTGCAAACTAACAATACTTGATATTGTCATCTACGGAATAACACTTTTGGGAACCCCTTTTGCATTGAGCACTTTGGCCATACAGTGACGATGGCAGCTCCTTAACTCAGCTGAAATCTGTTCCTATAGGAGGATCGGACACGATGAGTACTGCATGCAGCGTGATAGTCCTGATATCTGTGAGCCTCCATCACACAACGATACATCTACACGTTAGATACGTAAGCTTGTAGGGTGTGAATAATTGATTGAATATGTATTAGAGCGTACTCTAGTCAATCACCCATACTATCTGGGAGCGTGCCCACGTTGAACAGAGGGCTTCCAAGAAGAGTTCGTCATACTGCGCGAAAAACGCTATGACTCTAGAGAACTAATAGCATTTCGCAATCGAAAATAATAATACCACTGGCAACAGAAGCAGACCTTCGTTAGTTTTGCTGAAATGAATATATTTGTCGCAGGTCCGCTTTAGGATAGCACCGTAAAAGAGGCAAGTCGTGAGACTGATGTATGAAACTCTTATCGATATTTGCATTTGTCGCGAGTGTGCATGGAGATAATATGTGATACAATTATCCGCTGAGTAAATTTAAAAGTTATCCCGTTTTCTAACAAAGTTCACCTCTCGCCGCTATGATAAGCGAACCTTTTATGTTGCTGGCTGATAACACAGCTGAATAATACATGAGCGGCTGTCGTATGATTAGCATTTCAGCCTGAGTTAAAACTGCCGCGAGTCCTCGAAAATGTATGCCGTTTATTTCTAGAATTTTTCGAAGCACACCCTTCACGACTTAAACAAGTTGTTTGTGCTAGGGACCGGAACCCATAAGGGCCGCACCTGTTTGCTGTCGATATTTCCAACGCATTATCTGGCAATAAATCTGAACAACTAAAGCTATAATTCGTATGTAGTTAGATACTGTGCTAACTCTATGATTGCAGAAATAAATAATACAATATAAAGGTTCCATTTTTTCATCCCTATCGACAAACGTCAAGCAAAACCTAGAAAATAAATTGTTGAACACGTGATATGGGCGGCTTACTCAAGCCACGGGCTAGGAATTGGCGGTAATCATTTGGCTGAATCTTATGCAAACTTCATACATCTAGTGTTACGATAGTCGATTATGAAGTCCTACTTAACTATAACAGATGCTTATCACTGCAAGCGACTGACAGCACGAACTTTATTTTGAGCCAAAAATTAATAAATGCGCTTTATGATCTAATTTTTACCGAATACGTAAGGGTGAAACATTGTGACTGCAAAAATGACTTCCAGCATTTTCTTAAAGCTGGGAAAATCGTCTCTTGTTAGAATTGCACAGGCAATAGCTTGCGTTACAAATGCGACGTAAGATGAAAGCTTCAAGGCCATATTCACTTACGTCTGCAGGTACCGTAATTGGTGAAGCTTGATTGTTCTAAGTACGCAGTATACCTTGTTCCATTCATATTTCTGTTCTGGTCAATTCCTCTAACAGATACTCCTCAGCTGCTCATGTCTGGAATGAAAGAGCCATCACGAAATCACGGCAAAAAATTATCTGACCCAAGTGACGTTCTGGTGGATGTTGTGTTTCAACAGTTGCAGTTATGCTATCAGAAATGTATTCTACATAATCGATAACAACAAAATTTAGATATCAAATTTATTTTGTTTAAAAATTAACGCTCACAACATCTGATTATATATCCAAAATACCTTAGCCTCTCCTCAATTTGTAGTGTGCACTGAAGATGACAGTTGTATTCCAGTACATTTCAAATGTCCTTTTTTCAGACTCGTTTCTGGTAAAAAAAAAAATAATAGACAGATCTTGTTGTGGGCTTTCCTATACCGTCTAAAGGAGCGCTATAGCAGAACGCTGTAAATTTTTAAAAGTTATATTGCAGTTTTCTTCAAGGCTCCTTACGGCAAAGGTATGTAACTACACGTGTTCTGCTTTACTCGTATATTATTTCTACATATCCACGAAAGATATTTTAACTGGTCAGATTTTATAGCTTTTATCTCAGCCGTATCAAGCTTGCGACCATGGAATACGGTGTGATCATCGAATCTCATATTTAGATAATCGTCACGTTGGCACCACAGGTACTGACACGTATACCAACGTGTGAATAAAAATACTTGAAGTCCAAACATCTCTTAATATTTTGATAGTTTTCTGATAACTTACTCCAAGGTTTTCTATAGAAAGGTAAACGCAGAAAATCTTTAAGGGGCTGCTGCGTCTACTTTGGAAAGTAATAACCCTGCCTGTGTTTGACAATCTGCATCGTTGGTAAGTATATCTTCAAAACGCTGGCACCGTACATGAAGTGTTAATCTGCTTCGTGGCAGAAGACATGCTAATGAAAGCCTTCAACCAAGTTTTATCATTTTTATAGGGGCTTATTATTGTGTTAAGTTCGTAAGCCGTTGTTCACCTGTTATGTAACTTCGTTCGAGGTAGTGTGCTTCGCTCATCAAAAAGCTTCAATTGTTGTACCTTGCTCCGCATTATCACTATTAGGTTTTGTTATCCGTTATAATTACTGCTACCGAAGTCAACCAGTGTACTTCTTGCTATTCTATATGGACGCTTCGGTACACTTATATGTCTGCGCTGGAACCCAGCACGCCAAGATGCCACGAACATAGACCGCCTCTGGTACCGATAGCGGCAGGTGAAAGCACGTTTAGGGCAAACGAAGTCTACTGTACTAGACTTCCAGGACGACGTAAGAGTACTAACAACGCCCCCCAAAAAGCTGCAGAATAGCGCTGCATAGACTTAAGGTCGCTGCCACGTTGTAAATACGTCAGCTGCTAGTGAACGCAAAAAATACACAGCCGTATCTTGGGAAAGATATCCAGGTAACACTACCGATGGTAAAGATAGCGCAACAAATGCTAATAATATTGACAAATTGATATATATATATATATATATATATAATATATATATATATATATATATATAATATATATATATATGTCGAATAGGTCGCGGTAAGCAGATTGTTCGCAATACACAGCATAACTGTTGTGTAGTTTTTTAGCACTTAAAAACGGAGACCGGCAATTGGTCTTTGCAGAATAGAACACTTCATTAGACGCAACACCTCACAATATGTTGAGCTACTTACTTTCTGTGCCAAGAATAAAAAAAAATCAGTTCGAGACGTGTCAGAGCCAACAAGCGGTGTTCTTACTATCGCAGTAATTCCCGCTAGTTGAGACCGGTATCCTAGGCCAGATTTAGACAAGTTGCGTGTTCGAATGCCGAAATCCGTGTGGGGTCGCGGGCAATTTTAATCTGAGTCACATACTATAATCAGGTAAGTTACTCTGAAATAAATAAAAGCGAATTACGACGGGACACAATGGACGCGAAAACCTATTTTGCGGCTCAATTTACTGAAAATGCGAGCACTACGCGGGTAACATGCAAAGGCCTGCTGAAGAACAGTAAGATACTTATCATAATAGAAGAAGTTTACAAATGACCTAAAAACACATATGTAAAAATCGTATGATAAAGGCATCAAGCGCGTGCATCTTAGAGCTCTCCTGGTAATTATCCAGAGATACCTACTCTGCCCAGGAGATGTGACAAAGAAATCGTTCAATAACCTCGTCCAGAAAATTTCAAACTAACTATCACTTCAATTACTGTAGTATTTTTAATGCAAAATGAATGAATCCGATAGATCGGTACCCTGTTCTTTTGAAACTGTGCAAATATTTTGATTAACTAGACGAAGAATCGTGCGTATGTGTAGCGTACTCTGCCATTCAAGCCTATCTTTAATAGTACTTAATCATAGCTGAACCAATGGAATATGGATTCATCTGTTCGACATGGAAAACCTAAAGCATCGAATCTATTCGAGCTTTGCATAATCTTTTTTCAGAATAATATATATATATCTCTCTCCACTCAGGTGCGCGTGTTCTCAGAGAATTTGAAACTGAAATTTTTTGAGCAAATTGCGTCAGGTGAATACGTTTCATAGGCATAATCCGTCTCGTTACTTTTCCGATGGTCATTTTTGCGTCAAAACTCATTCGGAACGGAAGGTTTGCTCCAATTCAAAAACGCTTCCAAGCGATTCTTTGTTAATTTTTATTGTCTTCAAGCGATAAAGATATTTCAGATTAACTTTGAAGAAATACGAGGTATCGAAAAGTGTTTACTACCTACCGTTTGTGTATTGCGAGGTTAGCCTTGACGTAAAATTCAAAAGCAGTAACTCCCGATTGCTCTAGGGAAGAAGGCTTTGTCGAATGGCAGTTAACGCACCAGTAGAATATCACTTCTGGAAGAGATATCTCAGGTAGAAATTGTTGACAATATTTGCCTATATTATATTTTGTAATTATTTCACATTCCCTCTAAACAGGTTGGCGGGACAGCAGACACGGGCATTGGAGGAATTTCTCGTGAAGCGCTCCGACAATCTGCTTCTAACAAGTGCTATTGTTAGAAAGTCATTAGATAACGTTGCTGATGGCGATTACCTTTTTATGATATGTAGTTTGCATGAGGAGGATATTAGAGCCACATGATGGGGCAGTGGAAGCTCGAAGTTGCTAGCCAATAGATTTATCAAGAGAATAAAGCCTTGTAGTGACAATATTAGGCCAAAATAATCATTTGGAAGACCACAAATCGCGTTGACCAATAACTCGACAGTTCCCAGCGAACAGCAGATTCAAACAAAGTTTCTGCACCCCCCCGTCCCCCTCCCCCCGGAATACCCCCTACAGCGTCAGAAATTCATTGTACTATTAGCACTGGTAATGACTATTCGCATAGGAATAAATGTCCCACTTAAGTACCTAAATGTCAGCATAGACGAAGGCTGCAGCTAGCTCCTTCTCTAAAATGGAATATTGCATAATTTTGGGAATCTTGCTTCTGCCTTACAACTAATATGGTAATGTAAAAGATAATGGTTGCATCTGATAAATAACATACCAGTACTAATAATACTTGCTTGCTTCTTATGTCTAGATTGTCTATGCAAATTAGTTTAATGAGTCACAAATATATGGCGTCTACGACTGTTACTTCAGGAGACACAAACATGAAGTTTTTTGTACTTTATTGTTTATTGCTACTAACATACTGTATTACACATGTTGTCTTTGTTATATCGTTACTATAAATTGGCTGTATCGCATGTATGTACGTAAAATTGCATGTAGGCTGTATGCGAAATGCAATAGCCCCAGTATTGAAAGGGGAGCATTTTGTGAAATTATATCATGTCTATAAAATATATCACTAGACTTTTAAAGTGAATTTGGATGTGGATAGAGTGTGAGATCTTGAATACGATAGGAAAGCTGGAGCTTACTGTAACTTCGGTTGACATATGGAGCTGCGTAAAGCTACGTAGCGTAAATAACCAAATGAGTCTTACGGCTATTCTCGACGACACCCGCTATTGAGAAATTAAAATTTGGTAATCACTTACCCTATTTTCCGAGGTTACTACACATTTTGTGTGACTAGTAATCTCTTCTTCTTAAAACATAAAAACCTTCTTTCTAATGGCACGGTAAGCTTCCACGGATCTACCGCCCCAGAGCAAAATGAACTTTATGCAGAGGTCGAGACGCTAATGCAAACTTTTCAGCAAAAATAGATAGCGCGTCATCAGTTGCTTATGGCGCGTTTTGTGATGCTCTGGAAAGCCTAGATGTACTATATTTACACAGCTGCCTTGACTTTTTTTCTGTACTTAACAAGTAGGTCTCTATTTACAACTGAAGATGTTTTCGGCTCGATATTACTGTTCTACATGACTATTCTGACCGCCCAGATGCTGTTCGAAAACTAGAGCAGCCGCTTT